TACGACTACTACGACGACTACTACGACTACTACGACGACTACTACGACTACTACGACGACTACTACGACTACTACGACGACTACTACTACTACTACGACGACGACGACGACTACTACTACTACTACTACTACTCCGTTTACGACTTCTTTACAGCTACTGCAGTCAACAACATGAGCTGCGCAGTCGTAAATGGGGACGAGGCCGGATGCCAGCTTGGGCATGCGCCGTTTTGTCCAGTACGCGGAGGACGACTCTTCCGATAGCTTGTGACTGAGCCTTGTGCTGCGGACCTAGCGGTCGCACGGTGCACCTTCTTGTCCAGAGGATCACGGCACCCCTGTCGCCCCGGCGCAGAAGAGACAGAAGGTTCCTACAGTGGCGCGCCCAGCTTGCCATTGCTAGACTCCCTCAAGCCTCAAGACACCGGTGTCTGCCGAGACTGCTGTGCCTGTTCAGTCAGTATGTTCACTCAGTGTATCCGATGTTTTTGTTGTGCCTCTGCCTCGGTCCGCGGACTAGTTGGCAGGCCAGAAGTAGCCGAGGCGTGCATGGTGCACGTGCAGGAATCGAAATAGTTTTGTCTCGGTAGCATCTGAAGAATATGACATAGAACAGGCTTAGAGCAGCAAGTGCACATGATTATGTATGAAAGCCACCCCAGAACAGAACCGAAACTAAGGACCAACCTCGTCACAATGGAATAACATTGGGGCCTGTTAGATTGCTCCCACCTTACAGCCGGTGAGCCGTTGAGCTGCATGTGCGCTATGCGAGGCCAACGCATCGGCCGAAGACGGTCAAACAAGCTCCGGCTCCCAGGTGGACCGTTGCAGTCATGTGGTCGAAAAGATTTTGCTAAAGGTCTGTTTGTCTTCTGTGATGGTTGTTGTCCGCTGTCTGCCGTAGTGTTGCTGTCGGCTGTTGCGGTTGTTGTTGCTGTTGCTGTTGCTGTTCCTGTTGGGTGTTTTGCTGTTGCTGTTGCTGTTGCTGCTGCTGGTGGTCGTGCTGCTGCTGGTGGTCGTGCTGGTGGTGGTGGTCGTGCTGCTGGTGGTGGTGGTGGTGGTGGTGGTGGTCGTGCTGCTGGTGGTGGTGGTGGTGGTGGTGGTGGGTGGGTGGTGGTGGTGGTGGTGGTGGTGGTGGTGGCGGGTGGTGGTGGTGGCGGTGGTGGCGGGTGGTGGTGGTGGTGGTGGCGGTGGTGGCGGGTGGCGGTGGTGGTGGCGGTGGTGGCGGGTGGCGGCGGTGGCGGCGGTGGTGGAGGTGGCGGGTGGTGGCGGGTGGTGGCGGGTGGTGGCGGGTGGTTGGTGGTGGTGGTGGCGGCGGTGGTGGTGGTAGTGGTTCGTGGTGGTGGTAGTTGTGGTTGTGGTGGTGGTTGTGGTTGTGGTGGTTGTTGTGGTTGCTGTGGTTGGTGTTGTAGCTGCATGGACGGGTAGCTCGCGCGGCTTTCGAACGGGCTTTGGGCTCCAACTCTCTAGAGGTCCCTACCAGGCCTCTCTTCTCAATCGTACCGTGAGTTGCCCCGACTTTGAGCCTTGTTGAGCCGGTTTGCATCTGCCAGGTCCCAATTCTTGGACCCAGTCTCTGTCTAAAACATTGTCAGACTGGGGAGGCGGTAGGGTTTCCACCTACCGCACAGTGCAGAGAGCTACTCAGTAGCGAAAACAGCGGATGGCGCCGCTTCCAGTCCACTCGCAGAATTTTCAAACTCTGCGTAAGAATTCGTTCAGAAGGGCTTGCAGACGAGTTGTTCAAAACCAGGCAACCGTGACATACAGAGGTCAGCCCCCCACCCCGCAGATGCTCAGGCGTGCAGGCGACTGCCCGCTTGCCAATCAGGGCACGCGGTCTCGGCAGGCCCCTCCTTCAAGGCAAGCTGGCCAACAAAGCCGCCCAGCGCGCGTTCTATCCTGGAGGTAAGGGCACCTTGGACAATAGCAGTGGGCTGAGATCAAGACTTGGGTGGTGGCTGAAGCAGACAAACTTTGTGACATGTTGATTCTTGATCTTACAGGAAACCCATCGGAAGGAGTCGGCAGAATTTATGGTATCAGGATTGCGTTTCTTCTGCAAGCCCCCCAAGTACCAATTCCAAGCAAGAAAGGGCTGGCAGAAAAGGCCGCAAGCAGGCGGAGGGTTTACCAAGCAAGCCCCCGTCCACCACTGCAACGGATGGCTTCATGGTCCTCTTTCCTCCCAAATTCAACAAGGCTCAGATACGCTGGAAGTAGGAATGGCTTACGGGACGTGTCCTGGAGGTCAGGGCTTACTGGGCTGGTGCCAGGCTGGCCATCCTAGCCATTTATCAACAAGTGCGGGCGTCTTTCAAGACCCAACACTTATCCGCCTTGACAAAAGCGGTGAAGGAGGTACCACAGCGGGACACTCTTATAGTGGTCGCAGACTTCAGCACATCTTTGCCTCCGACACAGTCTCTTGTGACGCTTGGGGCACCAGAACGGCACAGCCGGAAGACCCGAGGCCAGACGAGGCCAATCTGACAAACCGGTGAGCAGGCTTCGCCTGGTCGCGCATAACACATGGCACTGCCGACAGTGCGTCACCTTTGTACACGGCAAAAGGCCCCCCCCCCCACCACCTGAGGAAAAAACGACTTCTTGGGAGGCGGATGGTCCGGACAAGTCCATATCCTGTGTGCACATGCATGTGGCCTTGGCCTTCTTTTTGGGTCGCCTCTTGGACTTCGGCTTCGACGGGATGTGTGCCTCACGATTCACTGAAACCCCTGCCAGCTTGGACAGTGCCTGCATGATTGTTGCCATGTCCACTTGCATGTCGTCCCCTGTGTTTGCTTGCAGCACACATACTCCGAGATCTTACCTTCTAGATGGTTCTGCTTCTTTGCCTGGTCCTTGGTCTTCAATGTCCGAGGCGACGTCCACTTAGAACGATGCTTGTATCGCGCCACCTCAGAATCAGCATCATTGCTATGCACACCAGATTTCGGATTGATAAGTTAGTTCCGTCCTTGGCCGCCTTCGTCGTGGAAATCCAGCCGTCCGATGCTATCTTGCTTCCAGGCTTCACGTGCTCTGAGAGTACCTTCGAGATACTTGCCGCTCATCTGGGCTTCTTTTCCAGTGCAGTCTTCACCTGCTTGACACCGCAATCAACGCCAAACCACATCCAGCGGCTGTGCTTTCTCGTATCCTTGCTGGTGCCATGCTTCTGTTTTGTTTACCATGCCTTGCACCGCAATGCCACTTGGTTTGACACGGCATCCTCTTCTTGATTCTTGGCTTCTTGCGCTTGGACTGGCCACCTCTTGTAGCCTTTTTCCCCACCATGTAGCCCAGCTTGCCTGCATGAGATTCATGTACTGCACAGACAATCCCACCATACTGTATGTGTTTCTCAGGTGCGAGCACGAAGCGTGCACGTGCGATGTCGAGGTTGTTGTAGATGCACGATCCTTGATCTTGGACAGGCAATGCTGGGCAGCAATGGCGAACAGGAAGATGGAGGCCCGTGTCTGAAGACTGGTTTTGCTGGAGCCAGCTCCCTGCACGAAGATAGGTTGGGGTTGGACATACTTCTGGCAAAACTTGGCACTGCATCAGCGCACCTAAGCTTTCCGAAGGGTAGAACGCAAGCTTGTTCAACCTGCCTGCTCTACAATGCAGACATGGCCAGTTGCTCCTTGCCGGGATAGTTTGATCTCGCCGAAGAAGACGACGAGACTCGGATATTTCATGGAGTCGAACTTCTGGATGGAGCATCCCCACCGTCACATTGCGACGCAATTCAACCCATACTCAGCATTATGGGCGCTTTCAATGTCAAAGTTAGATGCCAAGGCTACATGTAATCCGCCCAGGACATCTCACCTTCAGCATGGCACGGTCCTCAGTCCCGCATTGCCAAGTGCCAATTCTGCAACTTTCTCAAATCCAGAGGATCTACTTTCTCAGCTTCTTCTCAAGTGCCCGACACTGCTAAGAGCACGTCCGTATGGCAATGTGGACCAAAGGGCTGCATCTTCATTCACCCTCGATGGTACCGATGTTCTGGCCTCCACTTTTGCTGTGGGGCGGAGTTCAAGCAAATTGGTTTCTGCATCACCCCCCTGCTGAACCTACGCAGTGGTATCTTGACACAATCAGGCATACCTTGAGCTGTTTCAGTCCGAGCATCGAAGAGATCTTTTCACGCCGTCGTCGGCACAGCTACCACCGCTGGGAGTGTTTCGCCGGACTGGCCGTCGCCGCACCATTCTGCAATATGAGCATCGCGCCCAGAACGACACGGGCCGCCGAGCTGAGGACAACTATAAGGCAAGAGTGCTTAACATCCGACCGTTCTCTCTACGACCTACACGATCCTATACACGTCTATGTCCGGAGTGGTCGTCAGATCTAAGCTGCTATGATCGTAAATTCCCAGCCTCTTCTCGGATAGTGTTACGCAACATGCTAGAGACATGTTGCCTCAAAGAGATCCCATTGGTCACGTGGCTGGAAGCGCATCCGAAAAGCAGCTCGACCACGGCTTGTAGAGCAAACATATTTCATCGATGTCGGATTTGCCGACAGTGCTGTCTCAGCTGTGTACAGCGAGATATTGACCGTCCGTCATGGACTGAACTGCGGGAAATCCAATCACTGACTGACCCATGCATTGCTGCCTGCACCCGCTTACTGCCAAGCTTGCCCTACGCTCGAATTGACAAACTCTTCCCAGGCCACATTGCAGCGCAGACTCCCCGAGCGGCTGCATGTGCAGCTCCCACGGGACGGCATGCGAGGCTACACCTCGAAAGGCTGCTGCTGCCATTAACATCCATAAACCGCCAGTAAGCCATTGTTTCACACTCTCCGATGCCCGGCAAGGTGCGGGACGACCCGCACAAGCGTCTGAATGAACATGAACGTGTTGCTGCAGTTGTTGTTTCCTGTGTGTGGGGAACGCTGAGCGGAGTGAAGGTTTGATTTTTATTGTGTTGAGGCTTCAAACACTCTGACTGAAGAGCCGGCTTGGGCCATAGTGAAAACAAGCCTCCAAGTTTACCTTTCTCGGAGGCATGGGCCTGCCCTCCTGCAAGCACGCTGTCGGCGGCTTTGGAAGGCGCTTGCGTGGTTGGCATGACAAAACCTGGCACCGGATGTGGACATGTTGCCTGGCCTGGATACGACGACAAAAAGATTCCAAGCCGCCCAGGATTCACGTTTCAACCACAGCCCGGCACTCGGCACGACAAGTCCACCTCCCAGTGTTGCCATGCCGCTCGAGCTGCTCAGGCCATCTCCCGTGCGCGCACAATACAGGCTGGATGCTCAGGACATCGTTTCGTCGCTGTGTTTCTGAAACTCTGTCTTTGCGCCCTGATGTCAGACCCTCTGAAGCCGGCGGTCAGCCAGAAGTCACGCAAGCTGGTGCTGCTGGCGCAGTTCCCCCCGAACAGCCTGAGCTGGGCTTTCGACACCTCCTAGGTCTTCAGACCCCGCTGATCCAAAGACCAGACCTTTCCCAGCTGCAAGCTCCCTTCACAGCTGCCGCGATGCAGCCTTGTGGTCAAGCGCCAGCAGCTTCAACAGCATACAATCAGGTTCGCACCCAGCAGCCCTTACATCACGAGTCGTGCGTCCAGCAACAGCAGCAGGGTCGTCTGCAGGCAGGCTCGGTTCTGCCAGAAGCACATGTTCAAACATTGATGTGCAGGTGCTAGTTGCCTTGGCTGAATGCCGACCTGAATTGATGACGGCCTGCTCGGCAGGCCCCCTCGTGGAGCTGTGGAATGCAGTTCTCGCAGCCACGATCTCTGCAGCAGCAGCTGCAGCCCTCACAGTCACCCTGGTTCAGCGGCAACGTGTCTCGCGGTTGACTTCAGCATGTGCTCTGAACGTCCAGAACGAATGCACACTTCGACTGCCAGGGGCTTTCGTGTGTCGCACATCTTCATCGTTGCCGTTTGAGGAGGATCTGTTGGCACCAAGTCTAATTGTGTCAAGCCGTGGCGGGCAAAATCGCTGTTCTCAAGCCGAGCTCCCTCCAGCCGGTCCGCGTGATTTAGGAGATCTCAAGAAGTCAGACAGACGGCTTGAGCTTATGGATGTAGGGGGTGTTCTGTGAAACTGGGTCAAATGTTGGATATTGTCGGGTCAAGGGTCGCTGCTACCACAGCCCTGAGGCTGGCACAGCAGTCGCAGCCGTCGCCACACTGCCCACAGCACCAGGCCGGGGCTCAAAAGTCCGAAGCAAATTTAACTTCTTTTTCCCATACGATTCCCGACTGGACCGGCTAAGCGAGGCGCAAACTGCTTTCACCCGATGCTTGCACCAAGGCTCCGCAGCCACGGCCGGCCGCGCAGCCAGCGCAGCCGCCGACGCAGCCGCCGACACAGCCGACGCAGCGACACCCTCCGAAGGGAGCCAGAGCCTGCATACGGGAAGGAGGGTTTGGAAACTCCGAATCTGCCTCGTCCCGTCTACAGAACTTCAGAGGGCAATTCTGCCGCATGGATGAAGCTGTAGTCTGCAACCTGTGGTCGGCATGTCCTCACTTGGGCCGAGGAGGTCCAAGCCCAGCAGAAGCTTGGAAGAGCCGCCTCGCTGTTGCCGCATGGCAGAATGGGCCAACAGCTAGGTCTCCAGCTCCCTTGACACATTGTGGCATGTTGCGGCATGTTGCGGCTCATGAATTCCGAAGGCATACAATGTGACCACTGCCCAGATTCCCAGGATGATGCCGTGAGGGACTTCGATGGTGACTTCGAGGCCATTCTATGGCTTTCTCATGAAGCGGAGTGCTCCGGAAAAGTTGAGCTGCAACAACCTTAAGGAGACGTCACATCCCTTTGACAGCTGACTTTGATTCGTCATGACCTGGATGCCAGAATGCAAAGCCGTTTTCAGCTGTCACAAGGTTCGAGGCACCGATGTGACAGTTGCCACTTTAACGGTGCAGGGAACATGGGTAGGAGCTGCAAAAGAAAGGAACCAGTAGCAATGCTCCCGATCACACCACAGCGCTGTCAAAGCCAGAGAGAGAGAGAGAGAGAGAGAGAGAGAGAGAGAGAGACGGAAGACCTTGTACCCACTCCCGACGGAAGCTTTTGCTCCAGGTTGAGCTCCTGGGACGCCACTTGGCCAGCGTGATTTGAGCGGGTGCAGCGTGCTTCAAGGGCCTCTTCGTGAGGCGAAGGCTTCCTGCTTCGGACCTCGAAGAAGCTGCCAGGAAAGGCAGGCGCCTTTTGCCAACGGCCCCCTCTCTACCTGGTTTGTTTCGGAGGCCTACGCAGTCTTGCGGCAGTGGCCCGGTGCGAAAACTCAGACGAAGAGGCTCCACTTCGAGTCCTCCTCGCAGCTCGGCCCATCCAGCAACGCCCCGCCCCCCCCGCGCTCCGTGCGCGCGTGGGATTCCCCTGACTGAGGTACAAAGCGGTGCTGCAGCGGTTGCTGGAGCTACAGGGACCTGCAAAGGCTGGGGCGCCTGGGGCGGCTGGGGTTGCGATTCTTCTTTTCTCTCTCTCCTGGCCTGAAGGTGCAACTGCCGCCGCACTGGGTGTCTGGGCGCGTTTTTGAAGCTTACAGGCGTTTCAGCCGGTTCCGAACTTGGCTAAAAAAGCGGTGTAGAGCCCATCGTGTAGCCGCAGCGCTTGCGATGGTTCGGCAACTTCAGATCGCTTAGTGCTGCACGGCTCGAGCTTCCGCCACGATGTCAGGTACTTGCAGCAGTGCCGAACTTCCGCCCGTTGGCGGAGTTAACGCGTCTTTGACAGTCATGAAGCCTCGGTGTGTCTCGAAGCCTTGCGTTTTTTTTCGGGTCTGAGAGATCGAAAGGATGCCTGCAGAGTCCAGCTGAGGCAACTTCGGTAGAGTTCAGGTCACGAAGAAGGCCTTCCGCAGAAGTTGTAGAGGGCCGCAAGCCCTGACATCGTGTGGTGATCGGAGTCATCGCCCCCAACACCCCAGCTCCTTGCTTTCTCGATCTGTTGCGCTCTAGCCGCTAGCCAAAAGCACGTAGAAAGACAGCGAGCTGAGACCGGACACTTGAAATCTGGGAAAGTCAGCTCTCAGCCGCAACCTGGTGTCAGCTCCGAATTCTGAGTAGCCTCCCACTTGGGACTTTGGGGACGCGTCCCAGAGTTCGCCAGGTGGCTCATGTTCTGCTTGCGGATGTGACGGGGAAGGCGCCAGACACGATGTCTCGATGATCGTGGATACCCATTTGTTCTGTTAGGTACTTCGTGCAAGCTTGCTGCTGCTGAACTGATTCAGTACGACCACGGCCCCTGCCTCCCCGCTGTCGTCGCGTGGTTGTAGTCGCCATCGTCACTGGCGCCGCCACCGTCGTCAGTGTCATTGTCTCTTCTTCCTCTCAAGCATCACCACAGTAACGGTCTGGATTCTTCCGGCTGCTTCACCCTTGAGCCGTAAGCCTGTCTTATGTCTGTTCTTGTGAGTGGCCATTCCCAAAACTCTTGCATCCAGGCCCTGCCCGAAGGTGCAGCCAGCCGGGAAGGCCACGAGGCTCCCAGACGCAGACGTCGAAACCTTGTAGCGTCCGAAGAAACGCCTTCCGAGGTGCTCCCATACCAAAGAGAGGCGGCACCCTGGCAAAACAAGGGCCGGGAAGCTCTCGAGCTCAGGGTCTGAACTGCCAGCCCTTGAGCCTCGGTAAGACAGGTGAAAGATGTGTATAATTACAAACACATGTCTGTCTGTCTGTCTGTCTGTCTGTCTGTCTGTCTGTCTGCATGCATGCATGCATGCATGTATCTGTATGTGTGTGTGTGTGTGCGTGTGTATGTGTGTAGGTGTGTATGTATTTGCGTGTGTATGTATGTGTATGTATGTATATTTATATGTATGTTTATATGTAAACATATATGTATGTGTATGTATGTATATGTATGTGTATTTACATGTATGTGTATATGTAAATATATATGTATATATATATACATATATATATATAGCTTTCTGGAGTGTGTGTCGCTGTGAGGGCCCGCTTTTCTCGAATAAACATGAGTTTTTTTACTGATTTTTATGTTTTTTTGTTC